CTAATCTGAGGATCTGTCCCAGGGACAGCACTCCTCACAAACCTCTGGCATTATGCCTAATTGGAGGACCTGTCCCAGGGACAGCTCTCCTCTGAAAATTGTGCATCCTCAACATCACGCCTGATTTAAAGCAATCTCAAATTGTGTAACCGAATTTTGGCTCATTCAATCCATCTGTCCTTCAAAACATAAGAACTGAAATGGCAAGTAGTCAAGGGTTTATACTCAAACTTTTTCTTTACTGTCCACTTCCATGTTTCTCTCTACCTCGGAGTCTGCCCTGATTCCATGTTAAAATTCTCTAAGAACTCCGAAAAATTGAAAGTCTATGTAACCTGTCTCATACTCTCTGGCCTAAAAGCACCTAGGATGTGCTACATCACCTCAATTCTTTGCACTCCTCCATGAGTTTGATCTGCCTTCCAATTGCTCCTCTTTGAACTGTCCTTGGGAACACCCTTCACAAGGGTTTTCTGCCTCTTACCATTACAAACCTTCAAAACACCAGACTGATTTCAAAAGTTGAACAAAATTCAACTCTAAGCCTAACTAAGCTTCACTCCAGCATACCATTCCCATCTTTGGCCTCCCTACTTTAAAATGGTCCTAGCTTCATCTCCGAAGACACCCAGCAGATATGATCTAGTTTAAGTATCTGCTATAAGCTGTATATACCCTATCACTTGCAGTCTTCAGGCAAAACAAAGCACATATACAGACTCATTAAGTCCTATCTTACTAAACTGACTGTCAAGTTACACAAGTCTTAAGTTACCTTACTTCCTATTGCCTTAGCCTGTACCTGAACAACCCTCTGTTCACCTTCCTTTCTAAATTCCTTCCAACTGATGTACAGCCAACTACTTCTGCTAAACCGTAACTTGCTCACCAAGCCCCTTCTTTTGGCATCATGCCTTCTCTCTCCGTCCTTAAACAGTTACTCTGAAAAACACTCACATTGCTGCATACCCAGACTCTCGTCTGAAGGTCTAAACCAAGCCACTAAAGTCACTTCAGAAACGCCATTCTCATCAAACAACAGGCACCCAAGCCTCTCCTACCACACTGAAGCAGGCCCTGTGCAGTCACCTTAGCCACTTCCACAGCTATTAAAGTCATGGGTGACCCCCATTGACACCACCTTTCTCAAGTCAAACATGTTCCCCTCACTAAGTAAATTTCCTATGCTCTAAATGCCAATACCCAAGTACAAGTCTCCAGTAACATTCTCCAAGCTAAGCAGACAATGATACAACAAGCCTCTGGAGAGCCACAAACTATGCAGGCTCCAAGTTGGTTCTAAATTATCCAGGGCACCTACCTGCACCTTACTCTTTCTTAACCAAAGTCAAACGGCAACCAACCTTTCTCATTGTTAACTGTGTGTCTCTTTACAACGACCTTTGCTAGCAGGAGTACCAATCAATTTCTCTAAACCACACTCCACCAAAACACCTCAAGCCATTCCATCAGCCCAAACTGAGTGTTCCACCACTCAAGAACACATTCCCTTCTGAAAACCAAAGCCCAATAAGAACACTAAGCCCACTTGCATCTAACAGCCTCTGCAGTGAAACATGAAAACAAGCACACTGTAGCTAAACCAGGACAACACTTTTGATGTAATAAGACTCTATACAGAATTCAACCATAAGCCTTCTCCCAAATTAACTCAAAAACTCATCTCTAACTTAAATTTTCCTTCTCTAAGACCAATAGTAATCATAAGCATACTGTTATTAATCACTCCATGTCTCTTTTAAGTTTTTACTTCACAGGATCAAGAAGATGACCACGTTAATTCTCCCCTGGCCACTAATCCCAGACTGACTCACTCCAGGCTCTGAACCCCCAGATCGTCACCCCTGATCAGCAGGAAGTAGCCCAAAGAAAGATACGTCGCCCTGTTTTATCACTAAAAAGAGTCTAAGATGTTAGTCTGGGCAAAGAGGGCCAAAGAGAAGAATGAAGATTTCAGAACTCAAATGTTGATGGCCTTGCCTGCTTCAGATAAGAAAGCAAATGGCCTTGCCTGCCTGGCTAAGCTAGCAGGTGGCTTGTAAATCAG